CATTCCCCAAAATCTATTTGTTATAGACCCTAGGCTTAAACATAAGAACTAAAACTATAAACATTCTAGAAAAAAACATAGGAGAATATCTTCACGGCTTGGTGAAGACAAAAAAACCAAAACAGAAAATAAATAAACTGAGTCAAAACTAAATATCTTTTCATCAGAAGAAACGTCATCAAGGAAATGCATAGGGCAGGAGGAAATATTTGGGAAATGTCTCTGACAAATAATTGGTAGCCTGGCTATATTAAGAACTCTTAAAACCCCCTAATCAAAAGACAAACAACTCAACTGAAGACACTTCACAAAGGATGGTAAAAGAATGGCCCATAAGCATGTGAAAAAACATGCAACAGCTTTAGTCAACAAGGAGACGCAAATTAGAACCACAATGAGATACCACTTCACATTCAAGGGCATGGCTAAAGTTACACTGACAACACCACATGTTGTCAGAAGTATATAAAACAGCTGTAACTCTTATACATTGTTGGTAGGAGAAGAAAATGGTATGAGAACATTGGAAAAGATCTTCTAGTTCTTTACAAATTAAATACACACCTACCTTAAGACCCACCAACTCCACTCCTAGGTATTTACCCAATGGTTAATGAGAACACATGTCCACAAAAGTATGTGTCCAAAAATTTTCATATTAGTTTTATTCATAATAAATAAATAAACTGGACGATCAGGTTTCCATCAATAGAAGAAATACTGGATAAACAAACTGTGGCATATCCATACAGGAAAATACTACTCATCAATGAGAAGAAACCAATTACTGACATAAGTAACAACATGGGCAGGTGACTCCTAAAAACCTGCTGGATGAACAAAAATTTCCACAAAAGAATATAAATTTTATGATTCTATTTATATGAAGTACCAGAATAAGCGAAACTGAACTATGGTGAAAAAAAATCAAAAGATTCATTCTCTGTAGGAATGCTGAACCAGGATTTTGCTGGGAAGGAACATGGGGAAACTTCCTAGGGTGATGATTCTGTTCCATACCTTGATAGAGGTTTGAATTGCACAGATACATGTATTTACAGGAACTCATCAAATGCTATATTGATGACTTTTGCATTGCACTGTGTATGAATTTTATTTGAAGAGAAATTGTAAACCAATGTCAGAATTGGAAACAAATATTTAATTTTTGCTAATCACATTGAAGTGTTTGGAGAGAATGTAGCAATATCTACAACTTACTTTGGAATACCATAAAAATGAGTTGATGAATGGATAGAAGAATGGATAGAGAACATTTGATAAAGCAAATATAGTAAAATGTCAATTGAAGAAACTACATTTGAACATTTTATGCTATAATGTTGAGAACAAGAGACAATTGAGGCTAATTGGCAGGCTGCCTTTAAGAGGGAGTACTGGCCCTGGAAAGACACTAGAAGCTAGCTGACATATAGGGGAACTGAGTAGGTAAAGGAGGCTGCTGGTTCTGATTGGCTTTGTTTGTTCTATTCTGAGTGTGGCAATGAAACCAGGGGCTGAAGCAAAACAAAAGACCAAGTTCGTCTTGCATTCCCTAAGACCCACTGGCTCACACTCTCTGCAGCTGCCTAGCTTACGAGATGGTGACTTTTTTTAAGAGTTCTCAACAGGTCTGTTCTAGAAATCTGGAACAGAGACGGGCTGTCCAATACCATTTACTCTCTATCTACTGAGTGAGTACCTACTGGGTGTTAGTCTCTGTGCTGGGCTTTGAGGATACTAGGATGAGCTGAATAGCAATGGCTCCTGCCCCCCCCCTTTTTTTTTGATCTTACTATTGATAAAAACTCTGCTCCTCTCTACTTCTATCATTTAGACCCTGATCAGAATACTTGCAAATTCATTTTGTAAGCCTTATTGGCATTTCTTAAATCTCTCAGATCAAAAACCCCTTTCTAATGTTGGCCCTGAGTACCTCTAGCTAAACAGAACGAGATCTCTTCTTGTTTCACCCTCTGGGGAGTGAAACTTAACACGAGAAGAGATCCCCAAAGCCTCAAAATAGCTCGGCAAAAAGTTGGACACATGCCGAGTGACCCAAAGTCACCTTATACTCTCCTGAAGTAGAGGTGTGAGAGAGAAAGGGTAGTCGGCTGCTAGGCTCTACCCTCTGCCCCACTTCTTCCAAGAGAGGTCACCCCCACTACCATTCCCCACCCTGCTACCAAGACCTGAAGTCCTGCCCAAAGTTTAGCCTGAGGACACGGCCTCGAGGAGAGGTGGCTGGCCTACTCAGTAGCTTGACAAGACCTTGAATCCCATGGTACAAATCTGATTGCTCCAACCTTACCTTTAACGTAAAAAAAGAGAAAATCCCTTACTTAAATGTTTCTTTTCCCAAGTCTTCTTGGTGGAATGTGGGCATGTTTTGAGCTATTTATGTTACAAATGACCCCAAATTGGTTGAGTGGTACCGTACGCAATAAGAAGTAAATACAACTTGGTTGCCTTCATTTCTTTCCATACACTGACTCATTCCTTTGTTTAACTGAATACTTTGCCCTCTGCAAAGCCCAGACTACCACCTGTTTGTTACCTTTATGTGCTTACGAATCCACCAGCTCTGAAAACCTCTTAGCAAGGTGACCATTTCTAACTTCTCTCTGCCCCTCCTCCTGACTGAAATATCTTTGTTTTTTCTCTCTCCTCTCATTCCCCAAGAATTTTTACCTCTCAGAAGCTTAAATATCTCTTTTCCTTCCCTAGAACGCTATTTTTCAGACAGTTGGATTCATGGGGAGATAATGATACGACTCCGGGAACTAAGTGCAGGGTTTCCGTATCCCTGGTGCCAGTGAAGGTGATTGGTGTTCAGGGCTTTCGGAAGCTCTTTGAAAACAACAGGGCTAGTCAGATTCCTGCAATTTACCTTCTGAAGGCTGAGCGTGTCTGGGCAGTGGCTGCATAATTTGGATGGAGTCATCACTGATGAGACACAGACTTGGCTCAGGCAGGGAGCACTCGTTGCTCTTTTAAACTCCACGGCACCAGGGATGAAGTCACCTTTCTTCTTTTAAAGCCAACAGATTTGCCCTGTAAGTCCCTGTCACTTCTGTTAGAACTTGGTGGGGGTTTTTTTCTACTGACGGTCACCGGGACCTTCTCTCAGGTAAGGAAGCTCTTCTTTTGTGGGTTTCCATCCAAGAAAGCTTGACTGGAGGGGGATTGGGAGGGCATCCCTGGGTAGAGCTGGAGTCAGGTCAAGGGACGTTCTGAGTGAGGAGGACGGCTTGTTCCCAGCCAGCTGGTCTCCACCTGGTGGGCTGGCCGGCCCCGGACCGGATGAGCAGAACCCCATTCAGGCTCAGAGTTGTGGCGGCTGGTCCTCTGAGTGGGCACGGAAATCTAATCCCAGCTTGGTTTTGGGTGCCTGTTCTAGTAGTTGTATAACAAGCATGTGAGTGAAGCACTTCTAAGTGGCCTCCTTCGGGCTGAGACTGTTCTCACTGCTTTGCTGTCCTTACAGCTGGCTTTTGTGTTTTGGGTAGAACCCTTACAGGGTTTCATGATAAAAGTTGATGTGCATAAAAGCTGCAGCTCTCTGGAGAGCCTTCATTTGCCTGAATGGTTCCCTTCTTCCCTAGAGTGCAGCCAGAGACAAAGGTGCCCAGCTCCCTGTTGTAACATGCAGGGACCTCGTGTAAACAATGGCTGGGCTGCGGTGTGTGGCAGAAGTGTGCAACACGTCTTAGTGCCTGTCCGTACAAATTCTAAGAAAATCAGCATGAGTGCTGATGTGTGCATGTGTGCAAGCAGATCTGTGGTCTTCAGACCACTGAAATCTCCCTGCAGGACTTTCTAGGAGTTCTACGAGGCACTGTCACCGATTGAATCATACAGCTCTTATTAGCTTTGGAAGTCTCAGCAAAGACATCTTGATTATGACAGAGATGCCTGCAGGGTGATAAATGGCTTTTGCTGAAGGAGTTGAACCACCGTGAAGTGAAAACATTGAGAGTTACAGAGCCCCTTTATTACTTGACACAGAATCTGCCGCACATGGTATTCACTGCATCCACCCATCGCCTTCAAGGGGGCAAAGAATCTCATTTAGATAAGAGATACTCGTGTCGTTTTAAATGCATTTGCACATTGGCTCCCAGCACTTGCTTACATGTTCACCTCAAAGTTGGCATGTCCAGAATTCATCCTTATCTGAAATCTGCTCTGATTTCTGTGTCCTATAGCTCAGCAAAAGCACCTGGCTTTCCATGACAGATTTCTGGACTTTGTCTTTGACTCCTCCTTCATCCTCACATTCCCGCATCTAGTTTGGCAACACATCCAGCAGATTTTACCTCCATTTTATCTCTCAAAGCCATCCATTCTCCTACTCCCATGGCTATTTTCCTGGTCTAAGCCATTACCACCTCCTTCCAGGAATATAGAAACCTCCCAGCCAGGCTTCCCCTGTCTTCTCACCTTTCTGGTGCAGCCAGCGTGATTCTGCAATGGTTCATCAGCACCTGCTCAATCCAGTCAATCACTAGTCTGGTGATCCTGTCTTCTTTTGAGAGAGAGAGAGAGAAGGGGAGGAGCAGAGAGAGAGGGAGAGAGAAAGAATCCCAAGCAGTCTCTTCGCTGTCAGCACAGAGTGCAACACAGGGCTCGAACTCATAAACCGTGAGATCACGACCTGAGCCAAAGTCAGATGCTTAACCGAATGAGTTACACAGGTGCCCCTGGTGATCCTGTCTTCTTAATATCCCTCAGAAATGTTCCTTTCTTTCCCTCTCGCCACCACTACCGTGGTCCGGTCGGCCAACACCCTTTGCCTGAGTTGTCTCTCAGCTGCCCCTCCTGCTAACAGGCTCGCTCCTTTCCTAGTGGAAGACACTTCACACTTCTTGTGCTTCCAAGTTATTAAAGGATATTTTGTACAAGAGCAGAACTTGAACTACTTCTTACTCTCTCTGAGGTCTAGAAACATCAGCTTCTGTATGACTTTTGTAGATACTTCAAGGAGGGAGGCAGAGAGAATGGGAGAAGATACGACATGTATATTGCAGTGAGAAGATGGCCTGAAGAATACATAAAGCTCATATATTTGATTCCCATCTCCTCTTTCTAGTGTGGCCTGGGCCAAACTGGTAAACCTTCTTGAGACTCATTTTCCTCAACTGTGAAATGGAATGGAAATAATAATGCCAGCATCACTAGGTGAATGGAAGAGTTAAAGAAGGCTCTGAAACATAGCAATTAAGACTCTTTAGTTCCTTTTCTTCTTTCCATTCCTTTTAAGGCTTATAATCTCTCACTATCATGTACCTTATAAGTATTCATACGTATAATTATCTGTTTGGGACATGATAGGAAGAAGGAATAGCAAAGAAACACAGAAGAACACTCTTAAAAGAATTTGCAGTTTACTTAGGGAGGCAAAGCAAACCGCAATAGTATAAAAACATCTATAAAACAAGCATTCTGCGATTGTCTTGTGTATAGCACCGGTTGAATACACAAGCACAGAGGGCTTGTGTAAACAGGCCTGTGAATATCTGTAGACCGAGTGTAAGTTGTCTATATCAAGCAATTTTTAGATTTAGGTTCTTCAGGGACTTAAAAAAATCATTGGCCTCTTTGATGTTGAAGCAAGACTTCCCAGGAGACTTCATACTTTTCGAGTGACTTTAGGGCATACAGATTAAATGACCTACTCATTTAAGTGACTTTACACATTCATTTATTCATCAAAGATGTATTGAGCACCTACTCTGTGCCAGATCCTATATTGTACCGTTCTGTGATTCTACCACGGGACATGGATGATAATCCTCTTGAATCACAGCTAGCCTTAGGGAGTTGTTTGACCCATAACATAAGAAGAGAGTGACGTTGGGGATAACCATGGCTAGATTCTAAGAAGTCTTGCAGCTTCCTCCTGGGTTTCTTGGCTTACTCGCTCTGGGGGAAGCCAACCATTATGTAAAGTTATGTGTGGCAACCTGGCTGTTGGGGGAGGGGTGGGGTAACTCTGATTTTGTAGTGTTTTTATAGATAAGCACTCCCTCCCACCATGGCCAATTTCAGGCTACCAAAGTGACGGCATGAGATGCAGAATTGGACAGAAATACACAGAATTGCCCCGTACAAGTTGGTACGAGCCAGCCCCAGGGCATGGCTGCCAATTCCTCCGGGGCTACTGTGCTGTGCGGAAGCTAGCTAGGTGCACAGGCTACAGGAGGAAAAGCCAAGCAGCCCCAGATCTTCCAGCCATTTGAGTTTACGTTCCAGGAATGGAGCCTTCAGACGACTCCAGACCCAGCCACTAACGAAGTGCAGCTGGATGAAAGACCCTGAGCAGGAATTGCTAGGCTCAGCCTCAGCAACCCACAGAGCCCTGAGACATAATAACAATTTATATTGTCTAAGTTTAGAGGTGGTTGTTACACAGCAAAAGAGATTTGGAACAAGGTGGTAGTCTTGTCTCTGCAAAAGCCAGCCCAAATGAAGCACCCCAGGAAAGTGTGGAGGAGTAGTGGAGTCTATCCAGAGAATTCTTTGTTTGTGCCTGGTGTCAGGCCTCAGAGCACAAGAAAAAAATGTTTTAGTTAAAAAGGGCTGAGAAAGAGACTTAGCTACTTTACCAACTAGTTTTACTGTTATAACTGAAAACAATTCTCTTACACATACACACACGTGCGCACACACACACACACACACACACACACACTTGCACATACACCCGCTTCTCTCATTCTCTGCTTCCATCATTGTCCAAGGCTCTGACTGAAGATCACTACCTGCTCTTTTGGCTCTAGTCCATCCTCTGCGTGGGATCCGGGGAGCAGGAAGAGGGAAGCAGGCAGAACAGAACAAATAAGAAGTCAAGGAAATGCCCAATCCCTGAGGTCTGGTAGGGAGCCACGGAGACTTCTAGAAAAGACCCCCCCCTAAAAAAAATTAAAACAGGAAGCATGGGGAAGGCACAGAGATTAGTTGTTAAGGCATGAATTTTGAAATCAGATGACCTGGATTCCAGTCTGGATTATGACATTTTCTAGTTGGTCGACCTTGGAAAGTACCTTGACATCTCTGCTCTCAATTTCTTCATCCTTAAAATCTGGATAATAATGCCATCTCACTAAGTGCTCGTGAAGATTAAACGAGATGATGTTTGTAGAGTGCTTAGCACAGTACCCACAGACATTGTGCTTAGTTAGTAGCAGTTAACAGGAGGAGGAGGAGGGGTCACACCGGTGTCATTACTGTCACAAATTCCAAAGCCACGGCTCCTTGCTAAGCCTTGAACTTCAGTTTGTCAGTCACACAACACGTGCCCAAGGTAAGTGTGCAACAAATACTCAAATCAGACTGCATATCTGTATTTGAAATAGTCTACCACCATCTTTTTCTGTCTCTCAGATAAACTTCCAAGGGCTTAAAAAGCGTAAGTGGGCATTATTTCTCCTTTCAGTGTGCAGTATGAACCACGACCGTGTTTTCTCATTTCTTGTGAGTCCTCTTCATACCTTCTACTAGTCTGAAGTTCAGTGCGCAATACATTTAAACTATTATTATCCTAAAAACTCTAAGGAGAAATTGAGGTTGGGTGACTTATGCTAGGATCCTGAGCAGAGGGTGCCCCAGAAATCTTAAGGTTACCAGTTTACAGATGTCACTACTTTGGTAGGACAGTCAGGGTGAAGGATACATGATTCTTGAGAGCAAAATGTGAGTGTTAAGTTCTTTTGCTTTATTCATACTTTGTGAATGAGAGTTATTAAAACTTTAATCTATGAAGTGACATTAGGCAGACATGTGTTGTGAAATTTATGGTTAGTCTAGTCACGTGGATTTTTTAAACAAAGAGTAATGCAGACATTCTGTTAAAAAATAGCTGAGTTGTATGCTTTTAAAAAAAACTTGTATTGTGAAATATTTATAGACTCATGAATGTGTGCCTGCTTCTCCCAGCCTTTTCCAATGTTAACATTTTGCATAATTATAGCACAATATCAAAACTTGGTAACTGAGATTGGTACAATTTATAGACCTTATCAGTTAGATTTTAACCCATTAGACATGCACTCATTTGAGTGTATATGTATGTAATTATATGTCATTTTTATTATGTTAACTTCATGTAACTACCACCACAGTCAGTATAGAAAACTATATCATCACCGCAAGTCTCTCTTGTACACCCCTCTGAACCCACCTCTCATCCCTAACCCTTTGAAGCCATTAGTCTATTGTCCATCTATGTAATTTTGTTTCAGGAGCATTACATAAATAGAATCATATGCAGTACTTACATGCACGAGGTTGACCATTTCCACTCGGCAAAATTTCCCTGAGATACATCCAGGTTGTTGCATGTATCAGTCATTGGTTCTTTTTTTATTGCTGAGTCGTAGTCCACAGTCTGGATGTCCCATGGTGCGTTGAATCAGTCATCCACTGGAGGACATCAGAGTGGTTTCCAGCCTGGGGCTACTACAAAGAAAGCTGCCGTGAGCATCTGTACAAGTTTCTACATGAACAGAAATTGTCATTTCTCTGGGATAAATGCCTCAGAGGGCAGTACCTGGGTCTTACGGGAGTCCATTTCCAGTTTGAAAATGAACCGCCCATCTTTTTTCTAGAGTGGCCATTTGTGTTGCATCACCATCAGCAATGTATGAGTAATGGAGTCTTTCTGCATCCTTGTCAGCATTTGGTGTTATCACTATATTTAAACCACTCTAATAGGTGGGTAGTGGTATCTCATTGTGATTTTAATTTGCATTTGGCTAATGGCTAATGGTGTGGAACATCTTTTTGTGTGCTTTTTTTTGCCATCTGTGTTTCTTCTTCAGTGAAATGTCTATTAATTTTTTTTGCTCATTTTCTAATTGGATTGTTTTTTTACTGTTGAGTTTTGTGAGTTCTAGAGATATGTCCTTTTTCAGATGTGCAGTTTACAGATAGTTTCTCTCTATATATAAATAGAACTTTTCATAGAGTAAAAGATTTTAAAATATTTATTTATTTATTGAGAGAGAGAGCGAGCATGTACGAGCAAGGGAGGGGCAGAGAGAGAGGACAGAGGATCCGAAGCGGGCTCTGTGCTATCAGCACAGAGCCCGATGAGGGAACTCATGAACCATGAGATCATAACCTGAGCCAAAGTCAGATGCTTAACTGACTGAGCCACTCGGGTGCCCCCATAAAGCAAAAGTTTTTAATTTTAATGAAGTCCTATTTATCAATTTTTCCTTTTATGGGCTGTTCTTTTTTTTTTAATTTTTAAAATGTTTTATTTACTTCTGAGAGAGAGAGACAGCATGAGCAGGGGAGGGTCAATGAGAGAGGGAGACACAGAATCTCAAACAGGCTCCAGGCTCTGAGCTAGCTGTCAGCACAGAGCCCGATACGGGGCTCGAACCCACGAACAGTGAGATCATGACCTGAGCCGAAGTTGGACGCTTAACCGACGACTGAGCCACCCAGGTACCTGCCCCATGGGTTGTTCTTTTATTGCAAAGTATAAGAACTTTAGCCTGGTCCCAGTCCTCAAAGGACTACATATAGAAAAATACTATATAGGGACATTTAAATATATAAAAATTAAAAAAATTTTTTTTAATATTTATTTATTTTTGAGAGAGAGAGAGATACAGAGTGTGAGTGGGGGAGGGGCAGAGAGAGAGGGAGATGCAAAATCTGAAGCAGGCTCCAGGCTCTGAGCTATCAGCACAGAAACATGCAGGGCTCAAACTCACAAGTGGTGAGATCATGACCTGAGCTGAAGTCTGACTCTTAACTGCCTGAGCTACCCAGGTACCCCAATACATAAAATCTTAATGAAACATATAGATGAAAACCATATAAATGAAACCAACATACAAATGACAGACAGGAAAGTTATTTGTAGTATCTATGTAACATAGTAAAATATATTTTCCTAAATGTAAATTTTCTAAAATTTCAATAGTACATTGCAACTGAGTAAACATGGACCAAGTACATGAACAGGCTGTTCAGAAGAAAAGAAATACAAACGGCCAAAAACCTTAAGAAGGAAAGATAACCCCCAATTTAACAAGCAAAATTAAAAGTGATAAAACTTGCTTCTTTTTATTATTTAAAGAATTACAAAATTAGCACGCATTGTAAAAAATGTAAAAAGCATTAAAAGTATATAATGTTAAGTGAATGTTTCCTTCAAAGCCTCATTGTACCCTCCCAAGCCTGAAATCTTTCCTTCTTCTTTCCCTAGAAATAATCTCTATTAAAAGTTTGCTATTACTTTGAGCCCTTTCTCTATGTGTGCTTATGTGTATGGGCATGTGTGTGTACGTATGTATGTGTGTGTGTGTGTGTGTGTGTATTTCTTCCTTATACAAATTGGATCCTATTTACAAATTGTTCTACACCTGGTTTTCTTCAATTCACATCATCACCATGAGTTTTCATATTGATTATTATAGTCACCTTACTTGTTTAAGTGGCATAGGATTTACAGTATAACTATACCTTATTTTATTTAAGTATTTATGAAGAGGCATTTAAATGTTTCCTTTCTTCTTTCATTACAAGGAATGCTGCATTATATATATCTTCGTGTTCACTTGTTTTACAGTCGTGTTCTGTAGGATAGATATTCTGAAGTGAAATTGCCGGATTCAAGGACATAGAAATTTTATATTAGACAACATGCCAAATTACCATGCTTTTAAAAGTTTATTTATTTATTTTGAGAGAAAGAGACAGAGACAGAAGAGAGAAAGAGAGAATCCCAAACAGGCTACGCACTGCCAGCTCAGAGTCCAATGTGGGGCTCAAACCTATGAACAACGAGACCACGAACTGAGACGAAATTAAAGTCTGTTGCTCGACTGACGGCACCACCCAGACACCCTGCCAAATTGCCATTTTAAAAGCTGTATCAGTTTTTTCATCTACCAAAATGTGAGAATACCTATTTCTTCAAAAGGTCACCACATCTCTTTATATTAACCAGTGTTCTCTAAAGAAGATTTTAATTAATTAATTAATTAACTTAGAGTGTGTGTGTGTGTGTGTATGAGAGAGAGAGAGAGAGAGCCTGTGGGCACAAGCATGCTTGTTAATGGGGGAGGGGCAGAGGGCAGGGGAGGTAGAGAGTCTTAAGAATTAAGCAGGCTCTGCGCCCAGCATGGAGCCTGACTCGGGTCTCAGTCCCACAACCATGACTTAACCAGAGCCAAAAGCAAGAGTTGGATGCTCAGCGAACCCAGCCACCCAGGTGCCACTTAACCAGTGTTTTAAAACACTTTGATGGGGTGCCTGGGTGGCTCAGCCAGTTAAGCATCTGACTTCAGCTCAGGTCATCATCTCATGGTTTGTGGGTTTGAACCCCACATGGGGCTCTGTGCTGACAACTCAGGACCTGGAGCCTCCTTCAGATTTGATGTCTCCTTCTGTCTCTCTCTCTCTGCCCCTCCCCTGCTTGTGTGCCTGCTCTCTCTCCAAAATAAATAAATGAATATTTTAAAAATTAAAAAACAAAACACTCTGACAATGTGATGAGTGAAAAAAGTCACCATTATTTTAAACTGCATTCTCAGAGTATTGAGACTGAACTTGTTTTTTTTACACATTTATAGTTCATGTTTGTTACTCCGTTAATTGTCAGTTTATAGCTTTGCCTATCTTTCTGTTGACTGTCATTTTCTTATTGCTATGTGAAACTTGTTTACAGTCTGGATATTAATCTTTTTATACATGTTGTAAATATTGTCTTCCTTCCTTCATTTTTATTTTACTTTTCTTTATTGTGTCTTTCTTTGTGGAGAAGTTTTAATTTTATGTAGTGCAATCTGTCTATCCTTTATTTTATGACTTCTAGATTTCATATATTAGCAAAGTTTTCCCACACCAGGATAAAATTATTTCTTCTAATATGTTTAGGGATTTGCTTTTACTGCTTAGATCTTTTATTTGTCTTGAATTTATATATACTGTGAACTAGGAATCCACCTTAAAAAATAGCCAATTAACCCAATACTCTTTATTGAATAGTCTATCTTTTCCCCACTGAATTGAAATGCCAATTGTTTTCATATACCAAATCAATTTCATTGATTGTTTTTAAACCTTTTTATCCTATTCAAATAAATAATTTATTCCACCAATAAAATCACATTGTTTTAATTTCTTTAGTTTTATAATTTGTTGTATTATGGAAAGGAGGTACCCTCTCAAATCCTGTCATTATTTTTCTATAGCAAAAATGTCTAGGTTAGGGGTGCCTCCCCCCACTCTCATGCCGATGTATACACACTATCTCTCTCTCTCTAGAGATAAACTTAAAAATCTATAAATAAATAAAAGTAAATGTTTTTTACTTTACAAGAAGTAAAGATATATGTGTGTGTGTTTGTGTATGCAGGCATATGTGTGCGTATATAAAAATTTCATAAAAATATATGCATACACATATAACTATACATGAAAACCTGCCCCCAGAGGTTCTGTTTTCATAGGTTTAGGAGAGGGCCTGGGCATCAGCATATTTTAAAAGTGCCCCACGGGGTTCCGATGTGCAGTCACAGTTGAGAACCAATGCTGATGATGTGAGGCCTAAAAGGGTCCCCAGAAGGCCACTGTGATGAGGTTTTTCCAAAATATAGTTAATTGGGAATGCAACCCAAAGTAACCCATCACTTCTCTGTCAGGCTAAGTGTTGGCATGAGACTGAGTGCAAATAGGTCCAGAGGGGAGTGGTGGAAAAGAGCGTCACTTGAATGCGTGTGAAAGCATCCATCTCTGTGGTCGTCCTTTTTGTTGAAAGGTTTAGACTCATTCGGGGTTCCTCAACACGTAAGGGATTCTTTTAAAATAATCATGACCGTAGAAGATACAGGGATCTCATGGAAAAGCAAACACAGCAAAACAGCTGTGTCTCAGGAGCCCAGAATGTGGTTGGTACTGGAAGGTTCCAGGAGAACTCCGGGAGCTAAGGTTTACTTGGAGATCCTCCCATAAAGATCCTCCCAAGATGCTAAGGGAAAATCTGTCAGGAATGTATAGATGACCCTTGCACTCTGAACATATCTAAAGGTCTTTTTTAGCTCCACTTATTTAGGCTTTTCAAAGATCTTAACAGCCTAGGAATTTAGGAGAACGGAATTATTTTCCCATGGAATTAGGTCTGTGCCGTAGGTGGCTGTGGAGAACTTGAGGTGTGACTAGTGTAAACTGACATTCACTCTAAGTCAAAATACATGCTGGATTTTGCAGTCTTGGCCTGAAAAAAAGAAATCTAATATTGCCATCAACACTTTTTTTTATCGATTACATGTTGAAACACTATTCTGAATAAAGCAGATTAAATAAATACATTATTAAAATTAATTTCACCTGTATAACTTTTTTAGTGAGGCTCTTAGAAAAAAAAATTTTAAATTATACATGTGACTCACATTTTCTTTCTAATGGACACTTGGATGA